TAAATAAATAAATAAATAAATAAATAAATATCCACTCTACAGAAGCTAACATTTAAAAAATATTAGACACCAGAAAGTTCCACTGATTTTATACACACACACACACACACACACACACACATATAACCTGTCAGAGATAATATATATAATGTGTGTGTGTGTGTATTCACCAAAGTCACATGACTTCAAAACACATAAAGCAAGTGTTGACACAACTATACATATAAACATAAATATCATCGTTGGAGGCCATATCACAAACTCCAACTTGAAAAGTACTGTGAGCTTGATGGTTGAAAGTCAAGACTTACCAGATACTTAAGGGGAAAAAAACCCTCAAATATCCAACAATTTCTCCCCAATAGTATGTTACTCTCAAGAGTAAGTTGGGTATGAGTATACTTTCTTCTTACAGATTTTTATAATACTGCGATTCTGTACAATTTAATAAAATTTAAAATAGTAGATGAAACCCATCTAATCTCTGAGCATTTGTGTGTCTATGTGTGGTGCATGTATGTGTTCATGCAGGTGTATGCATGTGTGTAGAGGGCAGAGGTCCCTATCTTTTCTAATCATTCTGATTTTTTTGAGTCAGGGTCTCTCATTGAACCTGGAGCTGATAAGCTAGGCTGGGTAGCAGGAAGTTTCAGAGACTCATTTGACGTGTCCCTTAGGACAGAGATCAGAGACATGCTGCTTTGTGCATGCTGGGAATCCAAACTCAAGCTTTCACAACAGCCATCACCCAAGTCCCTCCCTTCACAATAGCTCACCATAGTGATTTAAATAAGAAACGTTCCCCATAGCCTTATGTATTTGGACACCCCTCTCCCAGTTGGTGAGTTGTCTAGGGAGGTCATGAAACCTTCAGGGTTTAGAGCCTTAGCCCATTTCCAGTTCACTTCTCTGCATCCTGTTTGCAGCACAAGATGGGATCCCTGAGCTTCAGGCTCTGGCCAACTGCAGACATGCCTCCCTATCATTACTGTAAGGCAAGCAAACTCTTACGTTGCTTTTGGTCATGGTATTTTTATCATGTCAACAGAAAGCTGACTAATACATCATAACCGTGATAAGATATTTTACTCCAACTTCTAAAGATTCAACAGGAAAAAAAACTATGTAAATTAGCAAGTAGTAAGAGTAACTACATCAACCTTTGACATATGCAGGAAATGACGGTTAATAGTCACAATCTCTTCTTAAGAGGATAGCATTAGCAAACTAAAGAAGACATTTATCTCACTCACTCAAGGCTCAGGGAACACTGCAGAGGGGCAGAAGAATGTTGGGGCCAGAAGACAGGGAGAACTGCTAAATGCCATCCTCAGAACATGGCACAGCCATTACGATCAAGAGCCCACAGCAGCTGCACTTACTGGCACGGGTACTCCTAAGAGTCACCCATGGATGGGGAAGGGGCTCGTGGGGCCAACCCTCCCATTCATCACTGATGTAACTAACGGATTCCAAGAGAAATAAAGGCATGACAGCCAGGTGTATACCCACTAAGAAGAGCAGGCTTTACTGGATAGTTCCACACACAGGTCACATAGACAGCCCTAAAGAACAATGACATTTGTAAGAAAGGAGTAGGGGGTTCTGGGAAGGGTGGGAGGAAAATAGAGGGTAAAGAGTGAACATTATATACAATGAGAACTTATCAAAGAAAAAAATGTATTAAAATGCCTTTCCTTTTAAAATTAACAAAACACAAGAAAGATGCCTCCTATTGTCATTTAGGCAGAAAGAAAATAAACAGAAATCAACCCAACAGAAAGACACTTGGCTTATGTAAAGTCTATAAAGAAATACATTGATAGTATATACTTAAGATTATTGAATGAAATATCCAAAGGAGGTCCTGGAGAAACTTTGAAGATACCAGTTACAAAATAACATAAAGGTCAAATTCCTATAAATTAATCTGGCAAAGCAAGAAAAAGTCATCCATGAGGATTTTGTACAACTTTAAAAAGAGATTTAACAAGCCTTGAATAAAACTTAAACCATGTTCATGTTGTCTAAGACTTAAAATTTTTAAGGCCTGAATTTATCCCAAATTGAATGCATTCCCAGTAAAAACTCTAGCCAGATGCCAGCACGAACTTGACAAAACTGAATAATGTAGGTGAATGTATGCATTTATAATAAAAGTTACTAGCCATGACAGAGGAGACAAAACAAGGAAGCAGATTGCTCTGCTACCTAAAAGCATAGAAAGCTACAGTGGTTCTAACTATGGTTCTAGGGAGAGCACAGGCAGGCCTAGACAAGCACAAAGGGACAACTGGTGTGCAGCAAGGAGAAAAACGGGACTTGTGTGTTAGTAAGACCAGATATCCACACGGAAGATATAAAATACAACTGTATCTCTACTTCATGCAGCACATCAAAACCATGACTGATGCCAGGCGATGGTGGTGCACGCCTTTAATCCCAGCACTCAGGAGGCAGAGGCAGGCAATCTCTGAGTTCAAGGCCAGCCTGGTCTACAAAGCTAGTTCCAGGACAGCTAGGGCTGTTACACAGAGAAACTCTGTCTCAAAAAACCAACCAATTAACCAACCAACCAAACAAACAAAAAAACATGGCTGACTATAAACCTGTGCATGAAAGCAAAATAACAAGACTTGTAAAACACACACATTTTTATTGATCACATGACAAGGGCATATTACTTTAGGAGACACAAGGGATTAACTTTTGAAAACATGGCGGGCGGGGGCTGCATAGATAGCTCAATGTTTAAACCATGCTGCTCTTCCAGAGTACACGGTCCGGGCTCCCAGTACCCATGTCTGGCTGCACACCGCTTACAACTGCTCTGATGTCTGTCTGTCTGTCTCCCTCCCTCCCAAACTATCTTCTCTCTCACACATACACACACAAAAACTTGAACAAGCATTTTAAAACAACAAAAACCAATATGACAAACTATATAAAATTAAAATGAATAATTCTACTCACCCAAATTCCCTATAAGAAAATTAACAGAAAAAAAAAGGACTGAGAAAAATAAACAACATTACAAACCCAATTTTAAAAAACTTAGAAAAAAATGGGTCTCAATAGGAATCTATAAATTGTTCTATATGTGTTCAATAAATGAATGAAAATAAAAGGATATTTAATCTCACTAGCAACCCAGCAACCACAGAGGCACTAACATACCTGCAATTTAAACATTCAAGGCTAGCAAACATGCCAACGCCTTGGGACAAGTGGAATTCTTCCCTGCTACTAGAAAAACACAGGATTGCACCCCTTTTGTAGACTAGATGAACACATTATCGGGTGAAGGCCATAGGAATGTTTTACAGTTTCTTGCAGGACCTTCAAAATCCTTATCTCCTTCTACTTACATTCTTGTGTGACTTCTTCCTCTTGATTGGACGTAGCGACAAGCTTTTCATAAACTGACCTCAAAAGTGATAGCATGCCCCTTTGAAGACCAGACCCTCTGCCTTCAGCTTGCTGGTTCCGCAATTAGGCTCCTACCGTCATCCATCCTCCACAAATGCCAGTCATGCTCAGTCAAGACAGACTGCTTCTCAAGATCAGGGAAACAGCTTTCTTCTTCCTCCAAGTAAAACCAAAGTCTGCAGAGTGACCTACTGGGCCCCACCTGACCCTGCATGCCATCTTCCTGACTTCATCCCCACAACTTAATCCCTGTTCTCCAAATGCCCCAAAGACACTTCACCTGATGCAAGGACCAGTCTGTTGACCACTGCCCACTTATCTACTGTGTACAACTGTGTTTTAAGCCGTTTCCTGTGGTTCTAATGCACTTATGTGTATCCTGCCACGAAATATGTACAGTTTCCAGATTAAAAGTCATGAGGGCTGTCTCAGTTCCTGTCCAGGGCAGCTCAGTAACTAACGACCCCTGTCCTGCTGCCCCTTTGGGTTTGATCTATAGGATTTCTGTGTTCCCGCTCCCTTACCACAGCTCCTTTCCCCTCCACGTGTCTCAGGACAGAGCACACTATGGTTTCCTAACATGTTTAAGGTTTTACTCTCTCTTTAAGAACAAGAGTATAAAATCCAAGATGACAAGGCCTCCCTTTCTAATCCCCAGAGGGAGCTGGAACTTAAAACTATAAACAGCAAAATTGGGAGTTAATTAAATCCATTAACTTCTTCAGGATGAAGTATATTAATAAATACCATGTATGTGGCACATGCATATACACATATGCTAACTACACACGTTCACAGGAAAGGACACGTAGTGAAGAAAAGACTTCCGAGGCAGAAGGACCCGAACAAAAGGCAGCTCCATGGTCTGTGCCAATGCTCTCAAAGGCTGACCAGTTTTGACCTTCATCTTTCTTATCACCTCCTGGGACTCAGGAAGTAACAGTGGGTGACTTTTAGGCATAGAATTCAACCGGTGTAAACAAAACAATTAAACATGCCTGTTATCACTGAAGATGTTTTTGGTAGTTATTATTTCCTTTTTTATCGCCATGTACCCAGTCTGCATTTTCAGTGACTCTTACTTTTAAAAGAACTTTTAACTCTATGTAGAACTGCACAAAAGGACATTAAAAGTTGATGAATAACTACATGCCTTCTTTAAACCTTGCCTGAAACTTCCCATGCCCTCGGATGACGTCATACAGAATGCCTTCAGATGACGTCACAGAGAACAGTACTTTGCCGTTTTACTGATACTGAGAGAGCCTTCAAACCCAACACCCAGTGGATGCTCAGAGGCCCACTGCTCATTCATAAGCATGTCCTGACAGCAAGCTACTTGAGTTCTAGTGGCCTTGCTGAGACCCAAATCTTGTCACAAAACTAAAACCTTGTACTTCTTATCAAAAGCATTTTAGAAAAAAGAAAATGAAATCTCTATGGTGTGGGCTTTCTGAGTGTCTCTGATGCCTTCATCAGGGAACATGGCCTCAGTAACTGCTTGAACAACTGCAACGGAACATGAACCGGGAGGTCCCACTTTTGATGCTGCAAAGTCATGCGTGACCTGATATTGCTGAAATAGAGTCTTTATTTCTCAACATTCCAAAACAGCAGTGTACACGGTAACAAATAGTAAGTCACAGACCATAAGAAAGCATTCATTAGTGCAAATGGCTTTTGTAAAAGGTCTATCAAAAAGATTTATTTGCTTTAAAATGCATTCATTTCCAGAAGCACTGTTAATAAAACATTACAGTTTCATCCTTTGTAATAAAGGATTGAAAATCAATTGTGGTTGAGTAGCAAACATTGCAGGTCTTAAGTGCAATGTGCTTGTGATATCATCATAAATATGAAACTCATGTAAAGACAATAAATTAACAATGAAAAAGACAAGACTGTTTAACTCCACCGTCTGGCTGTCTCCTCGCAATGCTTTAGATTAAATTGTGCTCATTCAACGTAAAATTAAGTCTCAAATTGTATGGTGCATTTTTGCTGTTATATTCCCTAGAGCTAAAAAAATAGTACCTTACCACAAAAATATTTTTATGGCACAAAATTTAAGTTGTTCCATAGTGGTTCACATAGGCATAAAAAGAAATAGGCACAAAAAAATAAAATTCCTGTAAACTATAAAAAATTAAAATTCAAACCATGTTATAGAACCTAGTTGTAAATATGCAATGTATTAAAATGCAGAACATGTAATGGAAAGATGTTTAGAACATGTAAGTAAAATGAACAAGGTACTTTAAAAACCTCATATGGCAAAGCATTATTGATTCATCTTAATTCTCTCAAATAATATTCAGGTACAGAGCAGGTATACAAAAACTTCCTAGATCTAAGTGGAGCGATGCTGCAGCCATGGGTTTGAGAATGCTGCAGCATCTCAGGCAGAGAGGAAGTGCAATCTTTAGTCTCTGGTGATTGGTCCACTGGAAAACAATGCAGTACACGTGTTAAAATGGGAAAGGGAAAGAATATCCCAGCATCCACTGTTACCCAGCCAGCTGGGTAACACAACCCTCATTTTCACGTTCTCATTCTTCAAGGGTCCATAAAACTGTATCAGTAGCAACCATCTCTCCAGTTCCCATCCCTCAGTGTGCTGAGTGAAGACAGGGGTTTTGGAGGTTGCAGGAAACTACGGAGAGACGAAGAAAGCAGACAGGCTATTAGTCCTTACATCACTCACTTTCACCCCCTCCTCCCTCAGCGCTCCTCCATCCCATAATGACAAGCTGTTGGCACTGTGCCAGATGTGTGCCTCAGGGTATACCCATCTGCTGGAGCCTGAGGCCAGAGCACAGAACCACGTGTGTCCCGTGCACACAAGTAAATTTTCACTGTATCAAAAACTATTTTAAGATAGAAAATAAAAGGTAAAGTCCTTAATGGAAAAATAGAACATAATGCAACTTGATTACATAAACGTATGTACGAATTCTCAGCATTTTAAATAAAATTATTCTATCGTAGAAGCAAAGAACTTGAAAACTATTAAAAAATTAATTCTGAAAAACCCAATGTTTTCTCAGGTTTAAAGAAAACACTCTCATACTCTGACAGTAGCAATCTTCCTCCTTTAAGTTTTTTTTTTTTTTTTCAAGAAAAAAAATAGAGGGTTCCTGTAAGGAGTAGGTTTTTCCACCCACTGGTGGTCTTGTCCCGCCACTGCGCCAGCCCCAAATAATGCATAGAGACTGTGTATTTGATATAATTCTGTTGGCCAGTTACTTGTTTCTTGTCGGCTAGCTCTGTCTTAAGTATTAACCCATTTCTATTAATTTAAGTACTTCCATGTGGTCTCATCTTACCGGAGAGACGGCTGGTGTCCTGCTCTCTCCAGACTCCATGTTGACCCCTACTTATGACTTCCTATTTCCTCCTTGTCTCCTAGTCCCGCCTATCTTGCTTTCCTATTGGCCAACAGTGCTTTATTCATTAACCAGTATGAGAAACATATTTACAGAATGACATCTCCCATCAGGTTCCCAATAATGAACACATGTTAGTCATATTATTCTGTCCAGCCATAAACATGGCATGTCTGTGCATTTACTAGGGAAAATTAGTCATGATTTACTTTTGCTACCCTTGTCTAAGCTGTACCCTTCTAAAGGAACTTGACATTTTTAAGCTGAGAAAAAAGCTTGCCTGAGCCATCTGGAACTTGCCAACACAAAATGGTCAATTTCTTGATGAGTAAAATTAAGATGTTTCAAACCTTGGACAGAGATGCCACTGTAAGCACAGACCTGACGGAACTAGGAAGCTAGCCACACAAGAACTTGGAGCAAAGGGACCAAAAGGTCTATAGATAGGACAAGGGGTAAGGATGAGATAAGATAAAGGGGGATCTGACCACACAGAGACACCTAACTGAGAAAGGGGGACCCAAGGGTGAGCCATTCAGGTCAGTGACCTATGGTCAAACTCAGCCCAAGGAAAGTGAGACCAACCTAAACGCATTTCAATGTCCAAGTACAGGTAAAGGATTCTGGACTAAATAGACTGCTACTGAAGTTATTCTTACCTTCTGACAGGTTGTGCAATTTTGCTCCGAGGCAGGTTGCTCCCATTTATTGCCAGTGAAGGTCTCGGAAGGGCACTGCGGCCCATGATCCCAGAAGCTGCAGCTTTGTTGGGAGTAGGGATTCCTGTGCCGCCATATACCTGCAGGCCATTGGATAAAGGCATGCTGCTGCTGCTGCTGCTGCTGCTGCCGCCGCCTTGAACGGTTGGACTCACATAGGCTGTGGCTTTCACAGGCTGCCGGACAGGCACCGGGAAATGCCCCACACTGTGAACTCGGTGTTGAATCTGTCCTGGTGATGGGACTGCAGAGAAAATGATACCTGTGTGAAGAACCCTCAACTGCCTCCAGGGAGATGTGCTTTACACTCAGAGGAGCCTACACTGTCTGAAGAGGTAAATGATGGACAGGTTCTAAGTGCATATGTATTAGGGAAAACCCCCAGACGATGGTCTCCCATTCTGCCTGCCAGCAACACTATGCCTAAATACAGCAGACCCATGAAGAACACAGAGGGCAAATAACGCGTGACTTCCCTAAACTACATCAGTATTCCCCCTTCACCCAAAGCCTTTCTAACATTGTCAGATTACACTTAAAATGATTGGGCCTACATGGTGTCTTTACTTTTGTTTGTATTTCCCTGGCACATGGGGTTGTATATGTATGATCTGTAAGTGTGCACACAGATTACAACTTCAGCTGTTTATAACAAGTTTTAAAATATTAACATTATAAATGATTAAAGTAGAATATCACCCATCTTTATTTTATGCATTAATTACATATTCTTTTCAACTATCTCAATTTTTCTAAGTTGCAAGATTTACCTGAAAGTTTTGTTAAATTCTTTTTTCAAATCTCATGAAAAACAAGGTGTATGAAGACCTTCTCAGATCAAATCTGTGCTGCTCAAAGATCAACTGAATATTCAGAAGACAATTCTTTCTTTTTTTTTTTTTTCTTTTTGATTTCATTTTACATTCCAACCACAGTTCTCCCTTACCCCTCCTCCCAAGGCAATTCTAGGCACAATGATTTTCACCTTTGAAGAAATTTTAAGAAACTCTGAATTGCTCCAAGACAAATTTGTGTTTGCTTGGAAAGTATTAGAATTTCTTTTAAGACTTTTTATTTTACTTTATTTTGGTATGTGTCTACGTGCATGTGTGCATGTCAGGTCTGTGTGTGTGTGCGCATGTGGGGCATCTCTGTATGTGGGGGGTCTGTGGGTAAGGGGGCATCTGTGGGGGGTTCCTGTGAGGGGGTCTCTCAATGTCTCTGTCTCTGCCTGCGTGTGTCCGTGAGTGTGCACGCTTGCTCGCCTGTGTGTGTGCGCGTGGGTGGGTGTGTGTGTGTGATGTTGTAAGTCACCCGATGTGGACGCTAGGGGGCAAACTGGAGTCTTCCAGAAGAGCAGGAAGTGCTCTCAACAATTGAGGCATCTCTCCAGCACCCTTTAGCATTTCTTGATGGTTGTTCTAGGGCAGCCTCATGAAAACAAAGCTTGGGGACACTTTGATAGCTGTAACTATAGAGGAAGTGATGTCAGTAGACATAAACATATTCCTTAAGTAGCAATCATTATGACACTACCTCAGGGTTTAATTTGAAAATTACATTCATTAATCTACTTAAAGCCTTAGTACTGAAAGCCTTTAGTAACTACTCAATTAAAAAAAGCACTATTTTGACCTTTATAACAGTGGCAGAAATCTATAAAATGAAGAAAGCAATCTGAGTAACAAGCCTTAAAACTTTACCAACACTGATCATTTTACAGTCAACAGCATTAAACAGGCAAAAATATTTTAAGTTTGTACTCTTTCTCTTTCTCTAAGGATGAAGAGGTACAGTTTGGCCTCAAAAGTTGAATTAATTGTTTGAAGATAGGGAAAAATATCGGTTAAAACACAGTTCAATGTGTGAACCTGACTCAACTTCCTCTAAAGCCTTATATATAACAAACATGTTGATAATCTTCTACAGGGACCATGTTTATGCACTCCCCATCTCAAGATGGGCAGCCTCACTAACTCCTCATAGACTGCCACACATCACCTCCCAGGGAAAACACCTCCAAAGACAGCACATTCCCTCTGTCATACTCTGGCCAATCTGACATGGGCACCACGGTCTACACAATCCTATATACCCAATATTCTGTGTGTGAGAGCCCCACAGCTATGGTATGGGATGTCAGAACTATGCTTCCCTGATGACGGAAGCCTGGTTTGTTTCCCTTCGTGTGTTTTATGAACATTCTCCATTATGTTTTGATGTCGTGAACTGCTAGGTTGGGGTATATACAGGGTCCCTCCACTGTTAGAATGTGAATTCAGCAAAGTCCCTGGATATAAAATCAAAACACAAAGATCGACCTATTCTAAATGCCATCATCTATGACAGTTACTCTTCACTGCAGAACAGACTAGAATCACCATGGAAACACACCTCGGGTGTATTAATGAAGGTTTTTCTGGGAAGGTTTAATCAAGGAGGAAAGACCTATCCTAACTGAGGGTAGCTGAGAGTTCAGGACTGCAGGGAGAGAGGGCAGCTGGTTGAGCACCGGCAGCCACCTCTCTGTGCAGACGTGATGTGACAAGTCACTTGCTCCATGCCTTCTTGCCATCATGGGCTACATTCACAAATGGTGAGCCGAAATAAGCTCTCCCGTCCTTAATTGCTCCTGTTTTATTATAGAAACAAGGACATTAATATACCAGAAAACTAGGATACTATTTACAAAAAAACAAGTGATGAATTTTAGAGATATTCATCTTCAATGAAAAGCTATAACACACTGCTGACACATTACCAAAGACTTAAATCAATGAAAGCCTTATCTACATGAACATACAACACTAAATATGGTGCGGATCCCCCCAAAAGTGATCTGCAGAGTCAATGAAACTCCAGTTTCATTTGAAATGAAACTATGGAGCTGCTCTCAGGAGAGACCCACAGATGATACCATTCCCCTAAAGCCATCATGTGCAAGGGTCCCATATTAAAAGAAGTTAGAAGAAATCAGTGAAATGGGCATAATTCTAGTTTTATAAATTTAGATTAAGAAAAAAATAGAAAGACTATAATGCCTGAGTTTTATGATTAAAAACCCAAGGAGAAATCTCAGATGACACCATGTTTCCATTCCAATTTTCTCCAACACCCTCCACAGAATCCTAAGCCTTATGCCTGAAATGTGACTGCCTTAAATCACTGTCCCATTGCCCCCCATTTAATTGGGGGCTGGCTTACAGTTTTAGAGGTTTAGTTCATTGGCAGGAGCATGGCACACAGGCATTGAAACAGGAGCTGAGAACTACAGACTGATCCACAAGCAGAGAGAGCGAGACTGGGTCTGGAACGGGCTTTTCAATGTCACGCACACACTTAGACACAACCGTGACACGCTTGCTCCAATAAGGCCTCACCTCCTAACCCTTCTAACCCTATCAAACAGTTCTACTCCCACATGGCTAAGAATTCAGATGCATGAGCCTATGGGCCTGTTCTCACTCAAGCAGTACAGTGACTGCCTTGAGTGCAAAGGAATGCCTCCTGTTTGTAATTCTGTCCTTTTCGGTTAGTGATTTCTATTTCCTTCAATTCTTTACATACAACTAAATAGAACCCTGCTATAAAATCCTCCATCCATCCATTATTTAAGCATGGACCCGGAAATACTTATATGACGCTATCAATTATAATCTATTATTATAATTGTCACTATTATTACTTATTCTGTGGTTCAGATGGCCTCAGCTCTGGCTATAGGCCATTTCTTAGAATTAGCTCTTGCATCCTTCCAACATATTCTCATCACTATGAGTTTTTAAAAACTAGACATCTAAGCCATGTACAATTCATCCCATTTTGGGTTTTATTAATTTTTGTGACACTCAAAAGATGCTATATCCCACTCTGAGTTATAGTCAACAGAATTCCCTATCAGACCCATACTTGCTATTGTCAAAACATTTTCTCTCACCCTACACTTCCATTGTTTATCTTCATAACTCAAACACAGAATTTGTATTTTTTTCTCAGCTGAATTTCTTCATGATATAATTAGTTTGTTGCCTTAAATGACATAGTTAACAGTTCTCTGTTTCACATCATTAATAAACTGTCTCTGGCTTGACCAGACACTTACTTCACTGAGTTATCTATTTAACAGGCTAAGCCTGAGCGACAACTCTATGTATCGCATGCATTCATCCAGCAGCTCATCTTTATTTCACTGTCCTTCACTGTGAGTTTATTGTGTCCAGGTAACATTGTCAGGTATTGGGAACAGAAAGTCAAACTAAGGTCCAAGCCAGAAGAGCGCTCAACCTGGTAGAATATATATCAATAATAATGACACAGGCTGAGCACTCTATCTGAAATGCTTGGAAACAACCATTAGATTAGGGATGTTTTCAAATCTGGGAAATATCATTTATCAAACTACCTATCTATCAAACAACCTGTCATTTATTATCTATCTGTCACATGGATGTTTTGACTGAATGCATGTCTGTTTGCCCAGTGTCAGAGTCCAAAAGAGGGCATCAGAACCCCTAAAACTAGAGTCACAGCGGGTTGAGAGCTATGATGTGGCTGCTGGGAACAAACCTGGGTCCTCTGAAAGAACAGCCAGTTGTCACTTAGCCACCTCTCCAGCCCCTCAAATGCAAGAACATTTGCATAGACACAGGCATATTTTTTGTATTAGTGGTTCGTGTACAGGCAGGTTTGTGTGTGGACACCTTAGTTCCTAGCTGGTGGCCTTGTTCTGAGAGGTATTGGTAATATTAGGAGGTAGGGCCTACCTGAACGAAGGAGGTCATTGATCATACCCTAGAAAGGCACACTTTGTCTCTAGGGCTATCCTGTTTCAACTCTTTTTTTTCCAACTTCCTCCTCTCTACCTGCTCTCATCAGGATGACATCCGCTGTGCCTCATACACAGAGCAACATTCAGTCAGTCATGGACTGGCACATCCAAATCTGAACCCAAAGGAACTTGGCTTCCCTTCAGATGGCTTCGTTTGGTTATGTGCGGCAGTGATCAAAAATCTAACAAAATATTGAAAGCAGGGTCTGACCCTGAGGCTTTGTGGTTCCTACACCTTGGCTATCGGTTCACAGAAGGAGTTTGTGAATTTGGAAGGTATTTAAGAGAAGTAGGTAAAAAACAAAACACAACTTTGCACTTAATTCTCATAGTAGCTGAGAAGACCAGAAGGCCAACTGGACATGAGGATAGAAAAGACTGTTCTCACTGCAGACGGGAATGTGGACTCTTCTGGGAGAGGCAGACCACTGCAGCCATGGTTCAAACGAGCTCAGCTACTTCTTGAGCTGGCTAGGAGACTCTGGCGTCATTCGTGAGATGCTGGTTTTGTGGGTAAGCAGAAGGCAAGAGGGACAGGTTCACAGGGTCTCTGTGCAAGCACTCAAAAGACAGTGAGGGCGATAGACTGGGCAGCAGCGTGTGGGAGGGCCAGAAGCCTTGTCATTGAGACTTTAGGCGTTACAAATACATCAACCTGGGGCATTTGCCAAGGAAAAGACGCAGGGAATGGAAGGGTTAGGGTAGGGAGAAGCCATATGGTCTGTAAGTGGCCAAACCATAGGTGTGTGGCTCCCTGAGAGCCGTGGCGCTCACATTACAGCGTCACGTGTCAGGATGGGATTCGGCCTAGCTTTGGTTCATTTATTCCTTTCTGACCCTACTCTTCCCTGATGGGTTTTGAGCACTGGAGGAACTGTCAAGATCATGGGAATTCATGGAGATAGATTAAATTCCTTTTGCATTACCAGATGGACTAGAGCTGGCCAGGGGTAAAATGCCGTAGTTCGTATACGAAAGGTCACCCACAGGCACAGGTCTCGAAGGCTTGGTCACTTTTGAAGGTGACAGGAAATTTAGGACTTGCAGGTTGAAGTGGGACATGGGGTAGATCACTGAAGGAGTGTGGTCTCTCCCTGCTTATCTTCTGTGCCCTTTGTCACCAGGACTGGGCAGCCATCGCCTCCACACATTCCATAAGGTTTCCTTTGTCTCAGGCCCAAAGCAATTAGAGCCACCAGCCATGGATCAAAAAGCTCCTCTTAAAATGTGCGCCAAATAGGTCTTCCTTTTAAATCACCTCCCTCAAGAGCATCAACAGAAATGCTACACACCGCTGATGAACCAAAGTCTAAACACAAGATTCATTCATATGCACATCGCTTAGTGACAATTTCATCCAACACTGCAAATGTTGGATGCTCAAAGTCCAGAATTCTCCACAGGTATCAGGAATTGAGGTATCACACGGCCTTCAAAAGTTTCAGATCTTGGAGTTTTATATTCTTGATTTCTAGGTTGCAGAAGTTCAGCCTATACACTGAGTAAGAGAGACTGGACCAAAACTCTACCCATCCAAGTTGTGTAGTATTGAGGAGCATGCATTAGGGACACCAGTAAAGCAGTAAGGACTTAAACACTGAAGGAAACAGAAGGGATACAGAGGACAGCAGCCCATGGGGGCAGAGCATCGCAGTCGCCGGCCGCAAAAGCTCCAGCAGGCCGTGCTGGACCCTGCACTTCTGGCTTGCCCACCCTGGGCTACATCACTTCACCTATTTGAAACTACCTCTCCCCACCAAAATGGGAAGGGTAACAGAAACAACCTCACAGAGCTGTTGGCAGACTAAGCAAGATAATGTCTGAAACCCAGCTAGCACAGCTCCTTACACCGAACAAATGCAGTCATTTTGATGTCCAGGAACTAGGACATCGAGAAATAAAAGGCAACCACATGTTGGGGAATAGACTGGTACCCAGACCTGGGCTTCAGGGAGAAGGGTCTAGAAACGACTCGAGATGCAAAGTCTTAGCCAGCACGTTCAGTACGCTCCATGGATCTCTTACAGATACGTGAGTGCTGGCCTACAGGCTTCCTCCTAGAGTCAGTGTAAGACTCAACCCCTCCTATGCAGGGGTGGGACAAATGCCTGAACCACGGCATCCCCACAGGAGCTGAAAGCACACAGTAGGGTTAACGTTGCATCACTCACTGACGGGAAGATGGATAGCAAGTGAGTGGGCAAGGATTATGTGGTACACTGGAATGGAGATACAAAGAACCTTACACACGCTAAAGTGTATCCTCATCTTCAGAGGAAATGCTTGGAATGGTGAAAACCATGACCCAAGTAACAGCTGGACAAAACCAGTGTGCTTCTACATGGTAAATCAGAGAGAAAGGTGAGAACCTGTATGGGTAGGAGGTTTGTACAATGGTCACACTACCGATTATTTAGCACGCCTGCTATCGTTGCGTGTGAAGGCCCCCTGTAATTTATTAGTAGTAGCAGTTGTTAAACATGGGCACTGAAGGAAATACTACTTGGTTACAGTGAAAACTACGTTACAAGACAGAGAAGCGCCTCCCCTGGTATGCCTAAGAGCAAGAGAAAGAAAAATGAGTGACTTTCCTACTGGTGTGGTGTCATGACTAGCCAGGCGTCAGAGACTCTGTCATACTTACTGCAGGATGGCCCCCTTGAAATCCCACCTCCAGCTCCGTGCAAGCTTGAGTCGAAACTCTGGCTGCCCCTCACCGTCATGGAGGAGCTAAGGCTGCTGCTGCCGCCCACAGCACTGCTTGGCGTGCGGGCTAGGTTAGGCAGGCTTCTTCGTAGCTTGTCTAAAAGAAGAAAGGGTTTTTCTTAAGTTAGAAGCCACAAATAAACACCACACTAGTGAGAACATTTGCTTTCAGAAGTAAAGAAATAAAAATGCCATGCTGATGAGCGGCGCACAGAAAATAGCGAACAGGCTAAGGGAGAACTAACCTCTTGCACGGGCAATATAATCTCTAGAAAAATCACACACATTCTATGATAAAGAAAAAAGGCCATCCTAATCAATTTGCTGTTTGTTACTACTCAGTAAGTGGCCAACACTGCATTAAATAAGGTTAGAAGATAACCCTGGAGTCATTTACAAATGAAAACACTAAAAATAAAGGGTCGTGAGAGTTTAAAAAGCAATGAGACTCAAAACCAAAACTTACTATACCTTTTGCTAACAGGACAAATGGAATAGATCAATAAAATCACCCCCATTCCAATTTTAACTGTCTTTAGATGGCTACCAGTTGCATTAACCTCCAAAGGGTTAACCCTCCCAGTATGCAAGCTGTGTACATTCTGAAAAGAGACCAAAACACTCAATGTCCTGATCATGTATTTCTTTCCTGCTGGGTGTATCTTCTGCCACTAGGAGGCGGCAGAGAGTTACATACAAACAGCCTGGCTCAGTTTTGAAAGCTGAATCAAGATGATTGGTTCTTTACTAACCCTCTTGCCCCACCCCCACCCACTTCAGTTCAGGCCAACTCAGAAAACAATGGTTACATCTGACCACTGAGCCTAAACGGGACCAAGCACTAAACTGGCCTTTATTCCTTTCCCCTTCAGCCCGCCCTCCCCTCCCCCCACCTACTGTACTGCAGACTCCAATTCCTGTCCGTTCTAATATCCATCACGCCTTCCGCCACAACTCCCTTGTCAGCACTTTGCACAGGGCCCCCGCCGTGCTCTTCTAGAATACGGGGACACACCAGGCTCAGCTCTACTTCCAATCCCTCTCACAACCCCGAAATCTGAAGTTCTTCAGATTAGGCCTCCAGAGCACAGGTTCAACAGATACACGGGGGAATACTCTCACTGGGCACTAGGGTGCCTCCACGTGGACACATTTCTCGTTCCACATAGAAGTATTTATGGCGCATATGCTAAATGCCAAGCACTATATCATATTGGGGGCACCAAAGTGAATGTGGCCACCAGTTTCCAACTCTCCCTGAGCTTACAGTTTTAACCATTTCCTATCTTTTGTTCCATTATCAACCTTAAGAGGAAAAAAAAAATTAACATGCATTTAGATTCAGTTTCTCCAAAATGAAGTGAAATACTAAAGAATAACATTTTGAAAGAGTATGGCTGAAATTTTGGAAAATCATTAACATGGTAACACATAAATGTTATGAATTACCTCTATTAAATATACTATAATATGAGACTTATATGGATCCGCCTAGGAAGGGGAAATAGACAAGATCTCCTGAGTAACTCAGGACCTTGAAAGTGACAGGGGGGGGGGGGGGAGGGGAGTGGGGGAGTGAACATGAGGAACAGGATGGCTGAGAGGTGGGGAAGGACAGAGAGGGAAGGCAAGAAAACTATTCTTGATAGAGTGGACCAGTACAGGATTATTGAGAAACCCAGCACTAGGGAAATCCCAGGAATCCACAAGGATGACCCAGAATAGTGGAGATCGTGCCTGAACTGGCCTTCCCCTATTATCAGATTGAGGACTACTGTAATTGTCATCATGGAACCTCCATCCAGCAACTGATGGAAGCTGATGCAGAGACCTACAGCTAACCACTGGGCTGAGCTCCCAGAGTGCAGTTGAAGAGAGGGAGGAGTAATAATACAAGCAAAGCAGTTTACCCACAGAAACGGCTGACCCGAGCTCGTGGGAGCTCGTTGACTCTGGACTGACAGCTCGGGAACCTGTAGAGGACTGAACTAGGCCCCCTGAATGCAGGTGACAGTGAGTGGCTTGGGCAGTTTATGGGGCCACTGGCTATGGGACCAGGGTCTATCTGTAGGGCATGAACTGGCTTTTTGGAGGCCATTTCCTATGCAGGGATACGTTGCTCCACCTAGACACAAGGGGAGGGCCTTGGTCCTGCCTCAGCGTTGATGGGACAGACTTTGTTGACTCATTGACTCATCCTCTGAGAGGCCTTACCCTCTTTGAGGAGCAAAAGAGGGGATTAGGGTGAGGGGAAGGCAGGGTAAGCAGGAGGGGAGGAGTTGGAACCTGGGCTTAATATGTAAAAAAATAATAATAATGAAGTAAAAAAAATAATCCACTGGAGTGTACATATCAGGACATACAGTCTCATGGGTACTTTTTTTTTCAAGGTAACTCAGAGCTGTAATATACTTCACTCCTCATGATGCTTTGAAACTCAACCAGAGCACTTTTTATTTCTCCCCTTACACAACACACCATCTTCATTGATATATTCATTAATAGTGGCTCTGCCTAGGAACTTTCTGCTCTTCGGTGTCGTCTAGGGAACAGACAGAAAATCAAGCAAGCAATTGTAAAAAGCATATTACATAGTGGTTAAGGCAACCCTTTACCTCTTACTGGTACACTAAGAACGCGTTCAACCCCTGCTTCATTAGAGGAGCTCCCTGCCGTCTGAGGAACCTGCCACCACCACATTGCACAGGGCCACAGTACTCTGCCAGAGACCCTACTTCATGGCTGGGTTTTTATAGTCATTTCTTCTTTCTCTCAGGATTCCTTCCAAAATCCCAGCTCTCTAAAACCAGATAGTTCCAAAATGTACATGCTCTGCTTTTCATGTACACTCATGCCAATAATGATGGATTAATAAAAGTTATTTAAAAATCTATTGTTTGTATCTTAGGGTTACTATTGCTGTGAGGAAAGGCCATGACCAAAAGCAACTTGTGGAGGAAGGAAGAGTTCTTTATTCAGCTTACCCTTCCACACCACATATCCTCACTGAAGGAAGTCAGGACAGGAACTCAAACAGGGCAGGAACCTGGAGGCAGAAGCTGATGCAGAGGCCACAGAGAGACACTACTAACTGGCTTGCTCCCTATGGCTTACTCAGTCTGCCCAGGGGTGGGTGGCCCCACCCACAATGGGCTGGGCCTTCCACATCAATCACTAATTATTAAGAAAATGTCCTACAGGTTTGCCTATAGTCTGAGTCCCAACCCCTTCCCTTGGTTTTTTAAGACAGGGTGTTCCTCCTCTGTGTAGCCCTGGCTGTCCTGGAATTCACTCAGTAGACCAGGCCTCAAACTCAGATCTGCATGTCTCTAGCTCCCAAGTGCTGGGATTAAGGGCATGAGCCACCACCATGGGGCCCTAAAGCCCACTCTTATGAAGGCATTTTCTCAATCTAGGCTCCCTCCCCTCCAGGTACTCTACCTTAAGTCAAGTTGACATAAAACTAGCCAGCACAGTTTACTTCTGATATTTTCCACTTACTATCTTCTGAACTCAGTGAACAGGGTACCAAAGCACAGAAAAGAAAAACCTATCTCCTTGAGGCTTCCCCTGACTCCCAGAGTTGAGACTGAGCCCAAGGGTTCACAGGTGCTATATATAAGCAGTGTAATGACCTTCACCCCCAGATCTACATGAGGCCTATCTTTAATAGTATGACTTACATCTTCCCATTCCTATCAAAGGCTCTAGCCCCATACAGCAGTCACTTAATATATTCAACACAGTGCTTGGTGTGTGTGTGTGCGTGCGCGCGCACGCGCGCGCAGAGTATGTGATAAAAGCAAGACATTCAAAACACAGCTAGGTCTCTTGAACATTACAAATCTGCTGTGAAAAGAGCCTACATGAATATGAGACCATTTCCATTACATACTGTTTTAAATAGCATAGAAGCAGAGAGGATCACAACCGTATGTTACTGATTAGAAAATTGAGCTTCTATATTTTCAATTTTTAATCCAGGAGCTGACAGTGTGGCTCAATGGTAGAACAGTTTGCCTAGCACAGATTAGGCCCTGAGTTGATCCCCAGTACTATTAATCAATTAACTAATACAAATTAAAACACATTTATTTTAAATGACCTTCCATGAATGTTTTAAATGTAGCAATTAAAAAATGTACCATTAAAAAAAAAAAAAAAAAAAAAAAAAAAAAAGTGTGTTTTCTTCCTAGAGCTACCAGCTGCTTTCATTCTGCCATGGTTAGTTCATCATAACATATACATTTGTTGGTATAAAAGCTCCAGACACTTTTGATACTTTAAGTGCACATAGATCTCCCAAGATGAAATGTCTATAGAATCATAATGCTTTTATCATATTTAATCACAGCAATGTCATAACTCATAAGCAAAAATCTTACACATCAAGAATGCTATTTGTTACATTTCCCCCCAAATGATGATCTAGGTAAGGCACATACATCATGTGTGGTTAATCTCCATTAATCCAGACACACTGACCTTTAAGAGCAGCCTTTACTCATATTTGGGTACCAAGACAATTTGCTAGCTACTTAATTCTGGAGTATGCCATACTAATAAGCTATCTGAGTATAAAACCTTTGGACACTTTGGGGTGATCTGTGGTTGAATCAGACTATCAGGAACCATGGTTCACTTCCCTGGCAAACAACCTGGGGTGCACTCACACACTTTAATGTGTCCTAACACATTAAACTTTAAGGTGTCATCTTCCTAACAAAGCAGAGATGTCATCTTCAAGGGACAATAAACCAGAGAAAAGTGAAAGACAGAAGCGAGTTCAGATGCTCACACTCAGGGGGCAGCAGAACTCAGCCTTCTGAAGAACACAGACAACTCAGGGATCAAGGAGACACTAGTTTCACCTGCCAGTCAACACAGAAACCCCCAAACACACAGACGCACACATACACACACACACACAGTATTTACTCTCTGACAAATCCCAATTCAGTGACTCCCAGAAAACAAGTCAAGAAGCTTTACATGCTACCTCTTTGAAATTAAACAGTGTATGAGCGGCAAAACAATACATCTTGAAACTATTTCTACTGTTTAAAATGGGTTTTGTTTTGTCTAGGTTGTGGGTTTGTTAGAGACAGTCTCACTATGTAAGTGAGGCTGGCCTGAACTCACCATGTAGACCAAGCTGGTCTCAAACTTAGAAACCCACCTGTCTCTGCCTCCCCAGTGCTAGGGATTCAAGTGTGCCACCACGACAGTCTGTTTTAGTTGGAGTGAGATATATTCCGTCACAATAATTATACAGAATTCAGTACATTTTAAAAATGTTTATTCTTTAAAAATTTCCCACTTGTATACAATGCTTCTTTATCACATCTGTTCCTCCCTTCCCTGCTCCGGTTAACTCCAGGATTCCAACTTCACACCGTCCTCTATTTTAAACTTTATTTTTTTTAAAGATGGGATCCAAGAGCTAGTAATTATTTCCTCCCATCTATATTGTTTTAGTAATTGAGAAACACAATGGATATTCTCAAAGTTACCATTTTTTTTCCATAAGTTGGTTCAAATAACATTCTATGGTAACAAATGGAGGCTCAGTTATCTGTGCCATATGCTTAAAAATGTCCAAAAAGTGTAGGTGGAGTGGGAAAGAAATTGTATTCAGCACATCTACTCCAGGCAATGTAGTATTCGTTATTTAATTTATTCCTTAAAACATGTAAGTTGGAAGAACATACACCAGATGGTTTGATGTCAAATTACAGTGATGTTTTCTAAAAGTTAGATGTTTTATCGTTTCTTCATTTTACAGCTTAGAAAACCAAAGTTCAGTGACCTGAGAAACTTCCTCATGGTGAAGAGCTAAGTGGTTTGGCAGGATTAGAACTCAGGGCCCACCGACTTCAGAGCCTGTGCTCTCAGTCATGAAGTGGAGTAATCAGAAACATCCAGAAAAGTACCTTTGTATTCCATGTCCCTCCACATGCAGAAACTTAAAAACAAAAAACAAAACAAGAAAACTGGGGTACATGCCTGTTATCTTTGAACAGCATCATAGCGTGGGCTTCAGGGAAACCCAGTCCTTCCCAAATGATGCTGGATAAAAATGCCACTTTTCTAAGGTAAAACAAACGGTGGTGTGGGTGAGAACAAGCCCACTGACACCAGCTGTACTGGCTGGTTCTATGCCAACTTGACACAAGCTAGAGTTATCATCCAGAAAGGAGCCTCAGTTGTAGAAATGCCTCCATGAGATCCAGGCGTTAGGGATTTTCTCAATGATCAGTGGGGGAAGGTCCAGCCTACTGTGGGTGATGCCACCCATGGGCTGATGGTCCTGGGTTCTATAAGACCATGGTGAGCAAGCCCGCAGAAGCAAGCCAGTGAGCAGCTCCCCTCTGTGGTAGGCACAGACTCCAGAACTGCTTGAGGTCCTGTCCTGACTTCCTTCAGTGATGAACTACAGTGTGGAAGTGTGAGCCAAATAAATCCTTTCCTTCCCAACTTGCCTTTGGTCATGGTGTTTCATCACAGCAATAGACACTCTAACCAAGACAAAATTGGTACCAGAAGTGCGGTATTGCTGTGACAGACCCGACTACGTCTTCCTAGAATTGTGGAAGGACTTTGGGCTAAAGGAGCCTTTGAGCTCTTTGTGTTCTGTGGGACTTGGCAGATAAGAATGTTGGCAACAGTGCAGAGGATGGAGGCCTGGCCTGTGAAGTTTCGAAGGGAGGCTTGAAGACTTGATAGGGCCATTTGTTATTTTGAATTAAGATTCTGCGGTTCTGGTTAGCTGGGGCTGAAGAATCAGCTGTGATTAACAAGATACCAGAACTACTAAAGTGACCCCTTTTTTACTGGGACAACTGGTGCTGGTCAGCTGGAACTAAGAAATTACTGATGATTAAGAAGAGACCAGCGTCACTGAGGTGAAATCTTCTGGGAAGAGTTTCCTGAAAGCGCTGAGAAGCTGTGTTCCAGAGGCAGCCATGGTTGTACCTGGTGCTGGCAGCTGACTTGGTAAAGTGTAAGAGAGTCACCCAGGTGGTACTGGTTTTGAAAGCAGGAAGCAGTCATGGAGAGCAGCTGAGGCTTGCCACTGTGAGAGGCCAAAAGACGCCATTGGTGAAGTGGCAGCCTCAGGGCAGTTGGAGGCTCAGAACTGGAAGGAAACCGAGGCTTGGCGCTGTGCGGAGAGCCTGTGAGAGGCTATTGGTGAAAGAGGCTGCCGCCCAGTTGCAGCAGAGGACCCCAGTATGGTGGGGACGCCAGCACCATGAGATAAGCACCAGGAGCAGCAGCAGCCATGGATGGAGCCAGGAAGACAGCTGTGTGTGTCGTAGGGACAGTGGCGGCGTGACCCAGGCCCTGTGGAGGAGTCCAGAAGGTCGGGAGTAGATCCCAGACTTGACTGTTGGTGTAACGGGAGTTCTAATAGGTCTTAATAAAAGCCCGGAGTCATATCTGTTTGTACTCAAAGCTTGCTGAAGATCAGGAGGAGGAGCTGTCCACTACCTACCCATAGAGGTCTGGAGGTCTGTACAGACAGACAGGAAGTCTGTACAGACAGACAGGAAGTCTGTACAGACAGACAGGAAGTCTGTACAGACAGACAGGAAGTGAGATGGAGGGGCACAGAGGAATACAGGTGGGAGACAGGAGCTCACTTTTCAGTCTGAGGATTTTGTAAAGGTAAGTAAGAGCTGAGTGGCTGCTCTGCTTCTCTGGTCTTTCAGGCAAGCTTTATTTGTTAGAGTGTAAATAAGATACCACCACAGGCTGAAATTTGGTTTTACTTTGTGTGACTGTATTTTACTGGAGCCAATAGTTGACCGATTTTTTTTTTTAAGACTTTAGATCTTAAATTGGCTATGTGAAAGTGACTGGAATTTTAATGTGTTTAAATTTGCAAAGACTGTGGGACTTTCAAAGTTATGTTTTTAATGCAACATCATGAGGATGAATAAGAAAGGATGGGCTTAATAGTGATGTTTTGTGTGTTGACTTGACACAAGCTCGAGTCATTAGAGAGGAAATACCCTCGGTTGAGGAGATGCCTCCATGAGGCCCAGCTGTAAGGCATTTTCTCAAGTAGTGATCGCTGGGGAGGGTCCAGCCCACTGTGGGTGGTGCCATCCACAGGCTGGGTTCTGTAAGAAAGCAGCTGAGCAAGCCCTGTAAAGCAAGCCAGTAAGCAGCATCCCTCCATGGCCTCTGCATCAGCTCCTGCCTCCAAGTTCCTGCCCTGTTTGATTTCTTGTCCTGACTTCCTTTCGGAGCAGCAATGTGAAAGTGTAAGCTGAATAAACCCTTTCCTCCCATCTTGATGTCAAGTCATGGTGTTTCGCTGCAGATACAGTGACTAAACTAAGACAGCAGCTGAGGTGTACAGCCAGCATCTGCAGGACAAACTCAACTGTGCGTGTCTGAAAACACTTCAGTAACAAGGTCAGGTGCCCTTGCTTGACTGGGAAGCCCTTCCAAGTGTGACTGGGAAGCATGTAAGCATGGAGAGTGTAGCACCATCTGGCTGCCATTAGGAGCTTTAGGATATTAGTTGCTATGACTGACTTTAGCCAAGTCTCACATTTAAAACCTGAGGGCATCAAGAGACAAATTTGGAATACAATGCTTTAAACACTTTCAAATGAACTTTCAGATTGTGGAATAATACAAGTATGGCAGAAGACGTGATGGAAACTAAAATGAGTAACAGTAGATCACAAATCCAATTTGTATTCACCCTAGTGACATTTATTATTTCCTTCTAGACTTTGAGAAATGGTATGATTTAATAAGTAATTTCTTCCTGTTTTCCAGGCTCTGCATGGAGGTTCAGGCTGATCACCCCAGCCTTGCGGTATTACATGACTGTTCTTTTTGTAGTTCTTGCTAGTCACCAAGTCTAATTCCCCGGAATATGAGAAAGAGAGCAGTAAAAAATATGAAAGAATTACGCCTCATCACACTGACATCACAGATGAACGTTTCATTGACATGCTACACAGCCGTCTGCCCAATCCTGCTTCTGAAGCATGCTTTAAGACTCCCCCTACATTGGAGTGTGCAAGAGCAGCATCCTCCTAAAGCTTCCTTGTCAACACTTACTATCACTCTAAGCTCAAAACCCACAGTGAGGGACTATTGCTGTTGTGAATGCAACATGAGGTCTTCAACTACATGGAGTGCAGCCATGAAGGCCTTGGGATGCACAATACTGCCACCCTACAGTAGATCTCCACTCAGGGGCTGGAGAGATGGCTTGCGCAGTAAAAGGCATGCTACCCAAGCATCAGGATCCTAGTTCAGAACCCCTAGCATCCAAGTAAAAAGAATTCCTATTAATCTCAGCTCTGGGAAAACAGGCAGACGAACCCATGGCTTGTCAGCTGGTCAGTATAGCCATATCGGCAAGATTTAGTGAGACACCTGGTCTGAAACAGTAAGGTGAAGAATTAAAGAAGGCAACAGCCACTGACTTCTAACCTCAGTACACACACACACACACACACACACACACACACACAGAGCATGCACAGTCTACATTCAATACACAAAAATATGTTCACACCTCAATGCGATTCTGAGGTGGGATCATCGTGGTTTTCCTGGAATCAGAAATGTATAAAGCTGAGTCACAGCTAGAAGACAGTCAAATTTAGATGGAATTGTAGACCACACCCACACGGGGGAACTTAGATCTGAGAAATGCCTGCCAATGATTGGTTGGCTGTAAGACGTAACCTACCTCCATTGGTCCTGTTTGGTTGCTGATCTGGCGTTTGGGCTTGAGGTGAATACTGTGGCTGCTGGAAACTATTTGAAGGGAAATACTGGGAACTGGGGCTCCTCCTACAATCTCGAATGCTGGAGAAAGTCTGTGAATGGGGAATTCCTCTTTGGAAAGGTGAACACCTCGGAAGACGAGGCTGAGGTGGTGGCAAATGATCAAATTCTTCCTCATCCTCCAGGCTGTAGCGGTCATATTCTTGATCACTACATGTCCCTTTCTTTCCAGAACTCAGCGACACACTGGAACTGTGTCTGGACACGGAGGCTGAAGTGGAGGCATAGTCTTGCCTGAGACCTATCGAGACAACAGTATTTATCAGAAAGTGCAGGTGGCTAACATCACACTGTAACTCATATTGTTATTAGAAAATGATAAGAAATTACTCAAACAAGGACACACCATTTTGATTCAGGCTGTTAAATCCTGTCCCAACACAAACAAAAACATACATTTATCTACCAAACACAAATCTATTGTTAAGGCAGTCAGCAATGAAAACATGCATCCCCACTCCAGTGAAGGTCAGACACACCGCATGACTCCAGACATCATTGCCTACAAGATTCTCCAAATTAACCCTTCCCAAGTTTGGAAATAGTTACAAGAACAGTTTAGGAAGAAATAGTCATTAGAATTATAGTTTCCAAACCCAATCCCTGACAGAGTAAGGAACCTGCTCCCTCTACCAATGTCTAGGCCAAGAAGAAAGTTCAAAACCTGAGGTGCAAATATTTTCTTGCAAAGTCTCGCTCGTCTATTTCATGTTACTAGCTAGTATTTACTTCATAGTGTGGTGATGTTTTAATGTTTCAGTAGTTTCCCATAATTCTAAATAGCAACCACCCCAAAGATGGTCAAACTGCAACCTTTCCATTACTTAACATTGTGTGTCTCTTCAGGGTTGCTTAATATCTGAAACTGACATCCAATCTTTTTCCACATTTTTAGATTAAGCACTTAAATTTACCATTAATGGCACAAAGCAATGCCTTGTTTTTCATAGTACTCTTGACTAATTGTAAAAGGAAATTGGTGTGTTTAACTATTTCCACTATACCAGCCAGAAAAGATAATTGGAAAACAAGCTTTGCCGGGTCTGTGACATCTTATTGTGCCCTTGATATACAGTACCAATGCCTCTGAGATGCCTGATAAAGTGTTCCATTCCTAGTAGTCCCCCACAGTTACTTATCTTGGAGCATATTAATGCATTTTATCTAAATTTTTTAAAAGATTACTGTAGACTCACACAAAGCCCTAGGAAATAATACTAGCACTTCAAGGAGCTTCCAACAGTTTTTGCATATTTATGGACTAGCATAATAAGGTATCAACAGTGATATAATTCACCCATTCTATTCAGATTTTTTTCATTTACTTATTATGTACAGGTTAATATTAAGTTTCTTGTACTTTACTAGCTCCCTGCTTTTATGCCATTCAAAATACTGAACAGTTCTCTACTGTGAAAATCCTTTGTGTTAACCCTTTCAGAAGCACATCTACCACTCACCCCATCCACCAATGTCCTACATTTCTAAAGTTCTACCTTTTCAAAACGTTACACAAATGGAATCACACTGCCTGGAGTCTCTCATGATCACCCTGTTTTCACTTTTATGATTTACAGAAACAAAGAATCCAGTTGTCTGCCACTCTCTGGAAAGTGCCTGGCCCCACCCATCATCATGTGTAGTCTAAGTAGAAACCTCTTGCCCCTCGATTAAAAAGAACATACTCTCTTCTTGCAGACGAGCCATGATCTGAACATCAGTGAGGTCCTGTAACTTATATCCCATGGATATAGAATCGTCTTCCAACTCTGAAGTACTCAGCTCACTGTCAATGGACGATTGGGGACTAAGAGGGGAACCCCTGGAGGTGTAACCTAAAACAGAGGAAACATGTTATTTATAGAAACGGTAAGTATATTTGTGTTATAACTCATATGCAAGTGGCATTTTCTTGCTTACATGATGTCACAAAAAGACTGACATGTTGCCATTTAACAAATACATCTTTACATGTTCATAATTGATCAGTATGAAGTATTTATTGTCTTTTTTTTTTTAAATCCAACTTGTAGAAAGAAAAAGTATAATCACTCTGTACTGTCTACTAAAAAGTTAATGCCCAAATCTAAGGGTGTGGTGTTTGAGTATATGTGTGTGTACATATAAATATACACATTTATACTTTCAACTAATAATTAGATGAATATAACTGATTCTATATTTCACAATCAAATTTAACCTAGTGGGTAGACACAGTAGTGTCATAAATGGAAAATGTCACGCATAAAAGACACATTCATGTAAAAAACATACACTTCATAATTCAGGGCAGTGAGTAATCATGGGACTCTTGTTGAAATTCAGTGAAAAATAACAAGATAAATGAACCAAGAAGAAAAGAGCCAGATGAAAGAGTGTTGTGGTATGGACTTGCGCCAGTGCTGAGACAGACAGGCAATGGTTTGAGACTAATCTTGTGAAAATCCAATACAAACATTCGTTCTCCTGAAGCCTGGATTTAAAAAGCCAGCAGAAGACACAAACTGCTTAGAAAAATGGCATAAAGTCCTGTGACTTTGCAATCAGTAAAGAACTATCTAAACTGGCTCACACACATCCTGTCCATGTCAGGCATTTGCTAAAGAGGGTGGTCTCCCAAGCACAGCTGAGACCAAGCAGTAGATGAGGGCATGAATGTACATGCTTTCTCCCTGGAGTATACGTGTGGCATAAACTCCATGATACTAGGTCACCCTCAGGGTCCCCGTGGCAGATGATGTGAGTAGTGTTTCATGACTACGTAGCAAAGCAAGCAGCCAGTCAGGAAGTTGAAAAATTACCTGTTCTTTCGGGTGTTAGTATTGCTTTGTTGGAGGTTTTAGAGGAGCTGGGAGTGCTAATGCCATTGCTATAAGGCCTGAGTCTTGCAACAGGACTATAGGGAAAAGCCAGGGAGGCAGGTGAAGAGAAGAGGCTCCGCCATCGGCTCGCTGTCACAGAAGCAAACACAGCAGCAGTTAGCTCTACACGGGCAGGCGCTGGTGCGTCAGAGCGACGAAAGGAGACTTTTAAGGAAGGAGAACAAAGCAACTTTTCATACGTTAACTAACTTCCGTTTGTCTAAGGAAAAATGTGCAAAAAAAACGGGTCACTTATGAGTGAGTCCCCACTCACACAGCAACCGAGAAACAGCAAATCTGCCTCACTCTGACTAAAGCCAACATGCCTGTATAAGAGGGAAATTTTGATTTCTACATCAGAAACATTTCCCATTTCTGGATAAAAATTGAGTGCTCTGTGATCAGGTAAAACAAACAATACCACAAGATTACAAACAAGAATAAAAAACTTAAAAAAGTTCCTAGAAGTCTGGGAACATGACTGTTCCCAGAGCCCTAAAAATTGTTTTGTTCACTTCCAGTGCTGTTAACTTAAGAACACATTGATCGAAATGTTTCCTATAGCTGTGTCTGGAGAGATGGCTCGGCAGTTAAGAGCACCTGTTACTCTTGCAGAAAGCCTGTGTCTCCAGCAATCCCATGGTGGCTCATAGCCATTCAGAACCCCAGTTCTTGGGAAAGAGTTTCTGAACTCCATGAGCACCAGGAAAATAGATGGAACACATACTCACATGCAAGGAAAACAAAAAACAAAACAAACAAACAAAAAAAAACACTCATTAAAAAGAAAATCAATGAATCTGTTCTTTTAATTTTATATAGAAGTTTGGATTTGGATTGCAAGACAAACTCGTAGGGCCTATTGTGTTTCCACACTGGGAGAAGTGACACACACCTGTGGAAAGCTGTCCCCACTGAAACATCATGACAGCTAATTTAGATGGCAGAGTTAAGGACTACCCGTGACTGCCTTTCTCTTAACAAGAGTCTGCAGATTTTCTGCAGAGAACAAATATTGTGCGTATAATTTCTAAAGGCAGACTATCAGATTAATATTGTAATACTATTTTGATATGAAATGAAAGTCATAAAGAAACACATAACATATCCTAATTGGTTTCTTTCCCTCAAAATTACCTCCTCCCTGTTAATTTTAAGTGCATGAAGGCTTTAGTGAGTCTCAGGCATGCCCGAGTCCTCAGAGCAGGCAAACCACTAAGGCGGTCAAACTGGACTTTCCCCGGAGGCAATCGCTTAGACACTGCAAGCAGGAGGGAGAGACAGTCAGTCAAATATCGGAGAAAGTGGAAAGAAACTCTGAAAAGCATTCCCAGGGTCTCCCTCAGGCGACAACCAATGAGCACCCACTCAGCCACTGCTAAAGAGCGCTCAAAATGGCCCCATGGGATGGGAGAAAACGGCGGATGTGGACAGTCAAGCAAACCGTGAGCGGTAAAACCAGGACTCTGCAGATCCTTGAAAATCCCACCAAGGCCGTTAATAAGAGCAGACTCGTCTCCCTTCAGTCCGGAGTCTTTACATATGTGTACTGCTTCGATTATGTATTTATTTCCTATATTGGTTAAAAAAAGAAAAAAGAAAAAAAAGCCAACAAAGCAGCTATGTCCACAATAACATTCAGAATCCTCCGGTTGCCAGAGAGATGGCGTCGTGAGGTCCTGATCCTAACTGACACGGGTCCTGCGTGTCCCTTATTCAACCTGAGTGTCTGCGTCTTAGCAGTTCTCACTCTTGAGCCAGAGCACACACGGACCCTAAGTACCTTGGCTGTGACTTGATGCCCAATATACGGCAAAACTGCAGTGAATATGTGCCGCACACACTAGGTAGCTGTCCTTACATCTTCAGTCTCTATTACGGGGTTCCTGCCATTACAAATTCTATATTGAAAACACAAAGTCAATAGTCCTTTGTGACTGCTAACTTGCTTAACAGACAATGGTATTTTATGTGAGTATGACTGCTCGCCAGGAAAATTACAATGACTTTGTGTTCTCACCCACAGATGCGGGGGGACAACACATCACAAGTAAACAGCACTTGCTATTCTGCACAATAAAACTACAGTGACCCAGCTTCCCTGCACAATGGCACAGTTAGTGTGGCTATGACAGCAAGCTCCCAGCTAAGAACACACATAGTATCTATTACAAGAAAGAACATTCTATATTGTCCTTCGGCAAGCAGTTGGCGTCTGGAGAGAGGGAGTAGAATTATTGTAGAGGCAACCTCAGGAAACAGCTCTCTTAGTGCCCAAGGCTGTGGGGAGGATAGGGAAAGGGACCAAGAGGCAGACAGAAGGGCCATTTCCTCCCCATTGCTCTCTGCAGAGCTAAAGAACCGCAACAGACAACTCTAATAAATAACTAAACAAAACGGGGCATTTAAAGGGGCGGTTCGTGTCTCTATCCCATTAATTTTTCTGACTTGTTTACTCTGGGATTTGTTTTTGTTTGTTCTTTTGAGACAGCACATACTGGCCACACACTGTGTAGCTGAGGCTGGCCTTGAACTAACTCCTGGGCCTGCCTGTATGGCAAGGGGCTGGGATTACAGATGTCTGCCACCATACCCAGGAGCACAGCTCACTGCCTTACTATGGACATGTTAATGTGCTGCATACTAAGATGCCCAAAATGACCCCTAGAGGAGAAAGACAATCTTACCTCTACAATTTTCCTTTACTCCTTCCTACTCTAAGCAAAGACTTAGCTGTGAGGAAAAATGGGGAGGACACGGGTTGTGCTGTTCATTTAACTTAAACCCTTTGGGGGGGAAAGGGCAACGTGCTCAGTCCTCTGTTCATTTTCTGCACATCTTCAAAGTTTTCGAACGTAAGTGGATATTTGTGAAATTATTTTTATACCTTATTGTACATAACTGTAAGGGAAAAGCCTAGGTAGGCCCTCCAGCAATGGTGCCAGGGTAATCACAGGACGACAGTGGACAGCTGTCGCTTTCAGAAAGAACTTACAGGGTTTTAATCCCACGACCACCACCACCTCCCAACAATTACTGCGTGGACGAGAGAGAAGTTCCCAGCACTCAGCTTTGCTCAAACACACAAGTAGTACAGAGAATATTCAGATTTTACTGAATGTATGTCTGTGCACGTTATCGAAATCAAACTGAAGAATGAATGTGGCCTAATTCACATGAAAGAAAAAGCTGATCTAATTAAAATGTCATCGATAACCCTCAAGAGGTCAGTTCTACAGTGAACTGGGGTTCAAAAACCAAGAAATCCAAGGCTGGAGAGAAAGTGCAGGAGCTGCTCTTCCTGAGGGCCTGAGCCTGACTGACAGCACCCACGCCAGGGACCCAGCCACCCCAACTCCAGCTCTGCATGGCATATAACTACCCCCACTCTACACGTGAACAACAAAGTAAGGAAAACAAATAATGCTGTCAAATATTCTCTAGACAACTATTTTCATCCCTCTACTAATGTGGAGATAAAGCTCTCTAGAAGCTTCTACAACATTTGGGAACTGAGTAGAAGATAGCACACTCTAATAATGCTAAACATGGTAAACCGACTAATATCTATTGACTTTAAAACTACCTTACCACTCCTAGTTTGACAGCTACACCATTTTATCCAATTCCTTAAACTTCAAATAACAGTACTCAACGTATGTCTTTGAAGACAAAGGTGAGTAGAACAAGACATTAAGTCAGCTGTGGTTCAGTGAAAAAGAAAATGCCTGTAGAATATTTCCCCTGTACTCATAAACAACTACTGAACTTAATTGGTATTAATCTTGTGACTCACAGCTAATGATTGTTATATTACTAATGGTGAGAACATGTGGCTGTAGAAATTAGCTACACAGGGATCTCTGTCTAACTATGAAGACTTCTGGGTTGCAAAGCTAAAATGAAAACATAAGCCAGTAAAGCACACAAAAGGGCAAGGCAGCTTCCTCAATCCAGAAAAGTCAACATCTTCTAAACTCTGGACAAGTTCAGAGCTTCAACCCAGTTAGAAGGATACACACACACACACACACACACACACACACACACACACACACACCAGAGCAGTTTAATCAGGTGAGAAGCCCTGAGGACAGAGCTTTGTTCTTCCCAAGGGCGCCGCACAGTACTTCCCTCCTCTGTGAGGCTAGCCTGATAGACATGCCCTTTCCACCTTCTCACTACACTAACACTGCAGCATGCAGACAACGCCTAATGCAGCTCCTATTCACCCCTCAGAGACAGCAAGTGCCCTAGAGTCAGGCTCACTCCAGAAGGTAGGATCATGCTTTGTAAATAGAGACATTCCAGAGCAGCCCAGGGGCGGCTCTTCAGACTTTGAACTTCTCACACAGTTTCATTTTTCTAAGAAAGTCGTGGTCTTCTGTCTTTTGCTCATAGCCCTTCTTCTCAAATAGCTGTATGTATGATCACTGTCATTTCCTGTGGTTTTGCCTTGCGGAGCTGGCCAACAGTCATGTCAGTCTTTATAAGCAGAGTCCTGTGTGAGGGAGGGGGAGAGGGAGGGAGCCTGCAAAATACAGACCATTAATACTTATAAGACACATTCAGAGTCATTCAGCATTTTCCAAAAGATACAGAAACCAACAGAAGCCAACACAGGTCAGTTTCTAGCGGCTGCTGGATCTTTCTCATAAAAATCACTTCAGACTCTTCCTGCTCCACACTCCCTGCTCAAGCTGGGAAAGATGCTTGGCCCTACGTTCCCGCCTGCTTTTGAAAAGTCATTTCTCCCTCCACTTGTGTGGGCACCCACTATCTCATGGACACTGAAATGAGTAAAATATGGGGGATGTTCACCCCTCCTCCCATTCTTACTCCTAAATAGCGGCTATTACAGGAGAGAGGCGTGGCTATTACAGGAGAGGGGCGTGGCTATTACAGGAGAGGGGCGTGGCTATTACAGGAGAGGGGCGTGGCTATTACAGGAGAGGGGCGTGGCTATTACAGGAGAGGGGCGTGGCTATTACAGGAGAGGGGCGTGGCTATTACAGGAGAGGGGCGTGGCTATTACAGGAGAGGGGCGTGGCTATTACAGGAGAGGGGCGTGGCTATTACAGGAGAGGGGC